TCGCTCTTTTAATGCGTTCGGAGGAGATTGTTAAGGGATTAAAGTTCAAAAGAGCTGCCTTAACTCCCCAACCCTCCAATAATTGGACCGATGATCCCATTTAAGGGTGGAGGGGGGCGGCTTTCAGGCCATCATCTCTCCCTTCTCCCAAAGTTGCATAAACGTCAAGTCAGAAATAGTTGCCTGACCTAATCATGCCATTCCTAGTCATGTCTCCTGGCTAAAAAATGGGGTCCCAGCCAGGCTGTCCCCTTCACCTTCCAAAAACTTGATGCATTGCTGCTGACCACAAAACCCAGCTAGAAATAAGGGGGAAGAGATTGCAAAAGCTGCTGGTGATCTCTGACCTAGCAGCGTAATCTGGGTGCATCGTGCATTAAAAAGCAGGCAGAGCTGTCATCTCAACTTTGCCGTCACTGTCTTGACCGCATCCTGCAGAACAGCTCTGCTCCCTTCCCTCTCCTCTCTTCCAAGATGACACTCAAATCAACTTCCAGCAGGGCCCCTGAGCAGCTGTGCAAAAGCATAAGCAGATATCTAACTTATTTCTCCCTTTTTTCTCCATCTAGTCCAGCTAACCTGGCTTGCCTCAGATTTGTACAGTTCTTCCTTTCCACCTCTAATTCCCCTATCTGGGAGGAGACTGACTTTTCTTGCACACCCTCTCCCCTTTGCACCCCCAACAGTTGTTGCAGGGGAAGCTGGTGCACAAGGAAAAATCTTCACACTCATCCCTTTCTCAGGGTTCTTCTCGTTTTCTCCTGCAAATCTCCCCAGTTCTGTTTGCACAACGTAGTTCATAAGCTCCGTTAGAAACCTAACACCAGCGTGACATGCTAGGTAAGTTTGGTTAGCGTTAACCTCAGGGGTTTTTTTGTGGCTGAGTGTGTTGTGCAAACTTAGTCCATTTGTTGATTTACAATTCAATATATTGGATGAACCCAGGAAATGGTTAATTTAGTAACAAGATTGAGCGTGTTGCAATAATGCAGACATTGTCTCCTTGCCAAGTAACAAGTTATTTAATAGCTGGGCTGCTGATGTGTGCAGTACAGGCTGAACTTATGGAACTCTCTACCACAAGGTATAGATTTTTAAAATTTTATTTATTATTAAATTTATATGCCACCCATCTCCCCCAGATTAATGGTTCCCTGCTTATATGCCTTGAAAAGCTGATTGGAGAGATTTAGGGAAGTGATGAAATGTACGCAAGATTATTAATCATCATCACCGTATAGAACTTTATATGCAGAAACTATGCAGCATTCAATATCTGCTGCTAAGGAACAGCAGTTAGATCAGTTTTTTTCAACCTTGGCAACTTTAAGTTGTGTGGACTTCAATTCCCAGGGAATTCTGGGAGCTGAAGTCTGCACATCTTAAAGTGGCCAAGGTTGAAAAGCATTGGAGTAGATCTATGACTTGCATGTCCATCTTGTCAGCCTGTCCTTAGAGAAAATTGTCCCTCCCCACCCTACCCCACCCCCACTTCAGAAAATTGGGCTTCCTTATGAATGTTTGGTTTATTAAGTGGTTGAATGCTGCATGGTTCCCATGGGCAGGCTTCCTAGCACCTAATTGCACCCATGTACTTCTCAGAAATGCTAATTTCTGAGAAGGAGCTCTTTATGTAGGCTGTCCTGCATTGAATTATTAAATGTAGCAAATCCAAACAGCATAGTAAACCAGCATCCCTTTGTCCTTATCTACTGAGCATGTCTTCAGCAACGCAGCTCTTGTGAGATACAGGAGGACTACATTTGCACCCTGTTCAAGAAATACTGACGTTCAAACCTCAGTGTGACCGTGGCTGAATGAATCCATTTGAAACCATTCCAAATACTACCAAAATCATGGAAAATAATTAAACATTGTCATTGGTCCTTAACCTACAAAAGATCCTCAATTTTGATCCAAAGATCTGTTAAATCTCTTCTTTGAGAAAGCTGTATCATCACCTCTTTATAAACCCACCATTCTTTCAACGCCCTTGGTGAGGATGAAGCATGAATAAAAAAGTCACAAACTTTTCAGTTTCTCTGGCAGCTGAACGGCTTCCTGCCTCTTATCAGCTCCCACCAGTTGCTTGCTGTTGTCCCGTAAAAGGGGCAGAAAAGTGAGATGGGCAGGGTGGCACTCAGCATTCCCACCAAGTCCAACAGGCTGACTCCCCCAGAAACGGAAAACAACAAAAATGCCAACGATCATTGAATCCCCCCCAGATTCTGGGACCAAGCATCTTTACCAAATTCCACTCTCTCTGTAGTTTTAAGAATATTTTTGCAATCTTCTGGTAATGGGGGGAAGAAGCAGGTAGCTCAGAGTTATTGAAACTTCAAGAGAAACCACAGAATTTAAATCTCAAGCTGCATTAAAGGAGCAGTGAAGCAGATCCTCTTACCTGCAGTAGTATCTGGTTAGGAAGACTTTGGTGGCTCTGCCAAGTTTATTGCTTAAGGAGGGTGTGCGAGGACAGTGATAGCAGAACAGCCCGCTTCACTTTATATACTCCACAAAACCTCTCAGCCTGGACGTTCTCCTCTTCCTCCTCCCAATTCTCACGTGCAGTCAGGAAAGTTTGCCTGATATGGACTTTTTGGCCAAGCTGTTCATGCAGATTCCCTACTCACCTCTACTTTTTGCCCAATTTTCTCCCTTTCTGCACCTGTTTTCCCCGCAAAATGGCAACAACAACAAAAAAACATGTGGGTATTAAACATATAATACACTGAGGCCCTGGCCACCATCCAGCTGCTTGCAATTCTCTTGTTGAAAATTCTGGGACTCAAAATTGATTAACTGTGGTTGGATCAAGCTTTAGAAAAAGAAATGCCCGAAAGAAGACTTTGTTGATTGGCAATGCCCTTATACAGAAGGCTGAGAGATTAGAAGTAGAGTAAATGGTTCAAGAAAATCCCAATTGTGTTTGTTTATTGGATTCTTATCCCTCCTTTTCAATGGCAGTTCAAGGGGGTTATAAATTGAACGTGAAAGAGGGTCTCTCTTCAGTTGATCTCCACAACTACAAGACTTTGTGGAGACTTCAGTTAAGAGAGAGGAACTGGTTGAAGGTAGACATGAACTGGGGTCTCCCTGGCTTGTTCAACATCTTGACCACCATTCACTCTATGTACTCCACAATATTAATTATTACCTGCATGCAACTGGGTTGGGAAGAACTTGAATGAGGTGAGTAGAGGCCATCTTCTTCACCTCAGGTAACACAAGATCTGGGGTTAGCCTGGGTCTCTGCCTTTACAAGATAACTTGATCTCTTCTGTGAGAGAGCAGATCAGTGTCAAGGGCCTTCAGGATCTTTTAAAGGAGGAGTAGCCAACTCATGGCTCCAAGGTATTCATGTGGTCCTTTTTTACAGACTCCAGAGCCCACTTTTCCATACTACCAAATTTGGATGCTGTGATTGCTGAAAACCAGTGGTTTACTGCCACATTGGACAGGATACACCCCAAAACTGTAGTGTAAGTCCTATAACTGGGTTAATGTAGTTAAATAAACAAGGTCCTCCCCAGTTATTCTCTCTTGTCTTTGTCCAGGCATGTGATAAAATCTTGCCCCTTTTGGGTCACATTTTTGCATTCTCACCCCCAGACATTAGCTATGAAAATGTGGGCTACGTTAAAATATCCATGGACACCTGTGGCCTACTTTTCTCTGTTTATCAGAGCCTCAGGAGCGTGAATGCTTTTCTGAAGGCCAAATTGCCTTCTTGGGGATTTCTCCTGCTTAGCGGCACTGAAATAGTGTTTTTGCTAAAGTTGGAGGTAAGTGACATAGGCATCCCTGAGCATGACTCTGCATAGAAAGAAATGTGTGAGACAAAAGGGGTGGGATACATATATGAACGTGTGCATGTGTGTGTGTTGTGTTAAACGTGCATGTTTGTTTATTCATTAGAGTTGTGTCTTGTTTTTTCTCCAGGAAGAATGTACCTTCGTTTTATCTTCATCACAATAACCCTGTGAAGTAGCTTAGGCTGAGAGAGGGGATAACTAACCCTCACTATCAGCCCTTCAGAGTAGGCCAGATCGAGAAACAGATGTCTCAAGAAATCCCAGATGTGTGTTATTGATATAGGTGATAATACAGAATCCTGAAAGTTTGACATTATTTCCCCTTCTTTTCCACTTATACCAAAGAGAGTCAAGGTTGGACAAGCTTTATCTTCTTTCTTGCCGTTCCTTGTTTTCTCATAGTTGCTGCACATTTTCTCCAAGGTCATCTCTCTGCTCCTCTGCATTCAGAGTTTCCTGCGTAAGGATGGCTTGGATCTGAGTCTCTCCAGATCTAAGCCAACACTTTAAATGGGGCAGTACACTGCCTCTGGGCCATATTCCTAAAGGAGTCTGTGGAAGATCAGGGCAACCCAAAATGTTCCCACTTTTGATTTGAAATATTTCAGAAAACGGCAGTCACCTCTTATGCAGTTTTTTGGGTATAAGTCCCACTAAATTAATGAAACTCACTTTCAAATAAATATATGGAGGTTTAGAGCTAGTGTGTCTGGGTGTAAAAACCTGAGTGACCACGAGATGGCCACAAAATGAAGAGTCTTCTGTAGCTCTTTGCTGCCATCTCTGGTAGTCTAAATCAGGGTTCCTCAACCATGGCAACTTTAAGACGGGTGGACTTCAACTTCTTGCTGG